ATAATAGTACGAGAAAAATTTGATAATATCATTTCAAATAGAATGCAAACTGCTTTAAATTATGTTTCCTCGTGATGCGCTAAAGAAGGGTTGAATATAAACCCTTCTAAGACCACTATTGTACCGTTCACACGGAAAAGGAAATTTTCTATAAATAACTTAAAATTGAAAGAAACCTCTTTAGAACTTTCACGAACAGTCAAGTATCTGGGAGTAATTCTTGGTTGTTAATAAGGCAATAAATGCTCTTTGGATAAGTAAAAAAAAACATTTGGTAGGAAATGGGGCCTAAAACCAAAAATGATCCACTGGATTTATTTGACGATTGTAAAACCCAGAATATCCTACACATCATTAGTTTGGTGGCCGAAAACTAATTAAAAATCGGCTCAGAAGAAGCTGGGGAAACTGCAAAGACTAGCTACTCTCTCAATAACTGGTGCAATGAGTAGCACACCAAGTATGGCACTAGATGCTCTACTTTATCTGATTCCGTTGCATCAATTTATCCAATTAGAAGCTGAAAGGAGCGCTTTAAGGATTCAACGAACAAAGTACTTCCTTGAAGGTGTCATTTAGCATTTTAAAAATGTTTGATATTGATTCTCTTGTATTAAAAAATGAAGACTGGATGGAGAAAAAATATAATTTCGATCGTTTATACAATGCAGCAGAATTTGATCGTAATGTTTGGGAAAGTGGGGGACCAAACATCCGTCCAGGTTCAACTGTTTTTTATACAGACGGTTCAAGATTGAACAATCGTGTGGGAGCAGGGGTAACTGGTCCAGGGATTGATCTCTCAATATCCATGGGTTACTGGCCAACCGTGTTCCAAGCAGAAATTCAAGCAATTCTTGAATGCTCTGTAATATGCTTGCGCAGGAATTATAAACATTCGAATATCTGCATTATGTCTGATAGTCAAGCAGCATTAAATGCTTTAAAATCAGCAACATGCAATTCCAAACTCGTATGGGAATGTGCAATGTCACTTCAGAAATTGGCCTGTCAAAAACAAATAAAATTATATTGGGTTCCTGGCCACTGTGGAATTGAAGGGAATGAAATAGCCGATACGTTAGCCAGGCTAGGATCATCACAGCAATTCATAGGACCAGAACCATTCTGTGGAGTTTCTACTTGTTCTCTTAAAATGGAGTTCAAGAAATGGAAAAAAATGAAAGTGGAGACCAATTGGAACAACACTTCCATTGCTAGGCAGTCGAAACGGTTCATAATTCCGAACATTTCAATGACTAGCAAAATTCTTGAATTATCAAAGACAGATCTCATTGTCTATACTGGTTTGATAACAGGACATTGTCCATGTAAATATCATTTGAAGCTAATAGGAAAACTTCAAGAGGATATGTGTCGATTCTGTGGTATAGAAAAGGAGGACTCTGAACACCTGCTATGCTCTTGTGCAGCAATCTTCAATAAAAGGCGTATTTTTCTGGATAAGGGGCTGGCAGAACCCTTTGATATTTGGAATGCAGGTCCCAGTAAAGTAGTACATTTCATTCGAAATGTAATACCTGGCTGGGAAAATGCTTTTGGTCAGTCTCTGTCGGTCGCTTCACAAAATAGTGATACGACATAACTGATAAAGCAATATAAAAACGGGGAATATCACAATAGATCAAAGTAATGATCGCAGTGATGAATACACCCAACACGAAAAAAAAAAACAATCAATACGAAACTAACGATTTTAAATTGACTCACTACTTGACTAGCCTATTGGTCCCAAGCAAACGATTAACGTGCCCCATTCTAGTCGAAATTCTATTACTACACTATGTTTGTTTTGATTAGCTATGAAAGTTTGACAAATAAAATGAGGGGTTATAGGTTTTTCCTATGTTTCGAGGGATGAATCGATTAGCTTGGGACCGAAGATAGTACCAGAGCTGAGCCAAAAAGTTGAGCACGTTTCTTCGGAACCTTCTGGTCTTAGAGTTACCTCTATGGTTCCACTGAGAAACGTCTCTTGGATCACCTTATTTAATGCAAACAATTTGAAGATTTGATATAGCCGGCGCCGGTGGTGTAGTGGTAAGCGTGACTGCTTTCTAACACCCCAATGGGTCTGGGATTGAACCAGCCGAGGTCGGTGGGATTTTTCTGAGGCATAAAAAGCTCTGGTCACGTCTTCCTTCGGAAGGGAAGTAAAGCCGTTGGTCCCGGCCCATGTGTGTTGTGAATGGGTGCGATATCCTACGCAGGTGTGTGGAAGTTGCCTTCCTGCACATTCGGTTGCCGTCAATGGATGGCAATCGATGTCCATCGGTGATTGGCACTAGATTGCGGAACAGAGACCGACGTTAAATAAAGGAAAATGAGAAGAAGAAGAAGAAGATTTGATGATTACGTTGAATAGGTGTAAAACTATCAATTTGTATGTGGTATGTTGAAATATTGTTAACTGTGCTTTTAGTGAGTCAACTTGTGATTATTACATCACGAAATTTCCAGTAGATGCATATTAACGATTATTTGTGTTAGTAAATAGTGCTTAACCTTTGCGTGCCTAACGTCTGAATTTGCATAGATTTCAAAATTCAATTAGCTCTAAAAACATAATTTCTCAATCTTTTTCTTCACAACAAATTGCATTTTATCGGGAATCTATTGAAGTTTTTGAATCCATCTGCAAATATTTGGACCAATACATGGTTCTGGAATTATTCCGGTTCCCGTTGGGGTCACTTTTGGTCGGCATTCGACTTTACTGTTCTGTAATAAGTATACACACGATGAACATCATGTTTTTTCTCTCAAATGATGTAATTGGACCAATGGCAGCTATACCGACGGTCCACGATCACATTGGGCATCCCGGAAATGTTCCGGATCCCCGGGGAAGTGGCCAATTCTCAACAAGAACCAAAACGCATCGTGCGACATATCAAATTTCATGATTTGACAAATTTTGGCCAGTAATAGCCTTATTGAGAGTCCATGGTCACACTAGCATTCCCTGGAATGTTCTGGTGCCCCCGGGGAAGTGGCCAATTCTCAACAAGAATCAAAACCCATCGTGCGACATATCAAACTTCATGATTTGACAAATCTTGGCCAGTAATGGTCTTATTGAGTTTCCATGGTCACACTAGCCCTCCCAGACATGTTCCGGTGCCCCCGGGGAAGTGGCCAATTCTCAACAAGAACCAAAACCCATCGTGCGACATATCAAAATTCATGATTTTACAAATCTTGGCCGGCAATGGCCTTAATGAAACTCGACGGTCACACTAGCCCTCCCGGGCATGTTCCCCTGGTAAGTGGCTGATTCTCCACAAGAACCAAAACACGTTATGCGACATATCAAACTTTATGATTCTGCTGAACTCGGCCAGTAATGGTCTTTTTGAGAGCCCACGATCCCATTGGCCCTCCCTGGCATTTCCCGGTGTCCCCGGGTATATTTTCTTTTGTTATAAGAAACAGCAATTTTCTTGCATACTTATTTTCACTTTCATGGAATTTGACAGAGTTGATTTATTTCTCTTCTTAGAATTTTTCTCAATGTCGTCTATCGATTCTCGATCCATCGATAGAAGCAACACAGTTTTACCACAGACAAACAGACATAACACATTGAATATTTATCACTGTAAAACATCGTCGCTAAAACATTACCGCCATCTGTTGAATACACTGTGGTGGGTAGTACGCTGAACAGATGGCGGTAGTGTGTAAACGTCAAACGCAAGGGAATTGACTATGCGCACCACAGGTGGCGGTACTACCAACTACGATACTTTTAAATTGACCGTTAAATGCTTGTTCGATGAACAACTTGCGAGTGTTATGTCTGTTTGTCTGTGGTTTAAACATATTTTCTGCAATTTTTTACCCAAAATATAACTCAATTTTTGAAATTCTGTTTAATGGATATTTAAACTTTTTGGGTACATTGTGCCAATACTTTTCTTTACTTTTTGATAGTTACAAGTTATTTGCTTTATATAATTTATTTAAACATGTAATTCATAAACATTCTGGTACTTTAATAAATTCCAGATGATTATACTCATCGATTTTTACTTGGGATTGGCACATCCATTTGATTTCAATAGAATTATGTTAAAAACAGGATTTTTTACAGAATTCCAGATTTTTCCAGATTTTATATTTTAACTGGTCCTGATTTTTCTGAAAATGACCTGGCAGCGCTGGTTGTGAGATGCACTCGCGCTTAATGTATAGAAACACGATTGATTATGATTTTGAAGATTTCCTGCAAAAAGGTGGAGAGCGATGCGAGTAGATGGGTTTAGATGCAAGAGATGAAAAAAGATTTTTCGTAGATTGATTCGCTAGTGAAATTTTTTGCTTTAGTTGACAATAATCGTATTGGCAATACAATTGGTATGGAACCGCTATAAAGTAAGAAGACTTGAAGTGAAAAGCAAGCACCACACGAGTAAAAACATTGTCAATACTCAAAAATATTGACAATCATATTGGTGCAAATATTGACGACGAATATATTGATGAGCATATTGACGCAAAATCAAAAAGTTTGATTTCATGTTCCAATATTTCCTTTCATTTTTGCCTCTTCTTTTCATATTGTTGATAATAAAGACATGAACATATTGATGGAAATATTGACGAAACTTCTGTCGTGTGGGGCGCACTAAAGAGCCAAAACTTTGAAATTAACAAAATGGTTCCTTCAAAGTCAGCTTTCAATCAAGTGAGGATGATCCCATTTTTAATCGTTTAAGCCCTATAGAGTAGACGTTCTAAATTTTGCAACAGTCTAAGGGAAAGCCCCATATCACATATTGGCCGCAAGGCACCATTATGGACTTCTATCGCTTGATTACAAAAAATGCATCTGATTGCGATAACTGGATACTGCTCACCAACTTCGAAAAACTTGGCAATCACAGTACATTTTAAATTAAAATTTTAAACCTATTTGACAAACATGCTATTAGAACTGATGAACCAACAATTGCTCTTCTAAATTTCCGTTCTAGACTGTCCTGCTGTCGTTCGATTTCCCGTACTATGGCTATCCCATCCGGAACATCACCATCGCAACCGGCGGCTTCCTGTACACGGGCGATTACGTGCACTCGTGGCTTGCTTCGACGCAGTACATCGCACCGCTGATGGCCAACTTCGATACTAGTCTATCAACCAATTCGTTTGTCAAATTCCGTGATGATGGTAAGTTGCCGCGGTCTTGTACCTCTTGTTCTGTCTGACTACAACACTACAACATTCATCAATGTAATACAATAGGCGAAACCTTCACGGTGGTGTGGGAGAACGTCTCGCTGCAGGATCGGCCCGAGAACGGTTCCTTCACGTTCAGTGCCACGCTGAACAAATCCGGTGACATTGTGTTCGCTTATCAGACGATTCCCATTGACATCCAGCAAATTTACGATGACAAACATCCGGTCAAAGTGGGACTGTCGGACGCTTACATCATCGATAAGACCATTTTCCGTAAGTATGAATAATGGCATACTTTCAGTTTTTTTTTTTTGCGAGTGCTAGCATATTGATGCCATTGTAGGTACCAAGCAGAAAACGATCTACGAGTATCACAGAGTCAACTTTGGGCGTTCGAATGTGCTGAACAATACACTGATTACGCTGTACGCTCAGCCCACCTGTTACAGCTTCAAGGACTGCCAGTCCTGTATGAACCACGAAGGTGCTGAGTTCAAGGTTCGTGTTGTTTTAGGAAGAATCAATAACCTTTAGTCTAATAATTGCGGGTTAATTTCTTACAGTGTATCTGGTGTCCCTCTTTGAACCGATGTTCCACGGGAGTTGATCGCAAACGGCAGGACTGGATTCAGAAAGGTAAATTTGTCGTCTAAAGAAAATCCATTTCTATTTGTATAACGTTACTCTTCATTTCCACCAGGTTGCGACAAGACGCAAATCATGGAGATTTCCGTCTGTCCGGCGCTTGGTCAGAAGGGCAATAACTACGGTGAACCGATAGAGATCAGTACCGAAGGTAACGATACCAACGGTACCTATCGGCACGAAACCGAAATCCAGCCATCAACCAAGAATAACAGCAGCAAGAGCAAATCGGAAACCCATCCGTCCAGTGCGGAGGACGGAGTGAACAAGGTTCCGGCATTCCATGCTGCCATGGAGCAGGAAACTTCGAGCAGTAGTCTGCTGGTGTCGATGATGGTCACCTGCGGCATCCTGCTCGGATGCTGCGGATGCTGGGTATTGTACGCATACCGGAATCCACACACCAAGAGCGGTCAGCTGTTGATCAGAGTGAGTATTGCTATCGGGGTGCTGTGAACCCGCGCCGGTTGGAATCCTAAACGAATAATTCAATTCTTTTCTACTCTCTACCCTCTTTCGACACAATGCTAATAAAAGATGCAAAAGGTATGGGGAGGTCTTTTTAAGATCGTAGAAAAATCATGTTCTGATTTTGATTTAGATCACTTTATTTTCATTTGCACATAAGTATCATACCTATTTTCATCTAGTCAAATGTGTGGCGTATTTCGTCGATTTTATATTGCGCAGGTGTTCGTCCTGGCTAATATCATTAATATTTCAATTTTGTATTTGTTGGGCTCATGCCAATTAGATGTTTCGTACTGCTTCGGACTTCTTAAAGTTTCCTAAATATTTCTAACGATAATGGATCTTCTCTAAAGCTTTAACAATTCACTGCCGAAATTTCTTTAAAATTTATGTAATTTCTCTAATGTTAACGGAACTGCTCTGAGGTTCTCTGTTCTAAAGTTCTCGAAACTTCTCTAAAGTGTTTGCAATTCTCACGAAGCATGTTTTACTGCCCTGAATTTAATTGAACTGTCCTAAAAATGTTTAAGCATCCGTGAACTTCTGAGCTTATGTGAAGACTTCAATAGCAATAGCAATAGCTTTAGAGCTCTGAAGATCTCTGAAAATCTCGAAACATCTTAAAAATTCCGCTAAACTAATGGAACTGAACTCCGCCTGATTTTTGGAGCTTACTAAACTTCTTTGCAATGCTCCCGCATTTAACTAATGTTCATGAAAGTTGCTGAAGTTCTCGGATCTTCCTTTAAGTTGAAGAGCTCTGCACGTCTGTGAAGTTTTCGAAGTTTTTCATAACATTCTGGAATTTCTTATGGCTCCCGCAATTTTTTTGGAACCAAAACGAAATAATTATTGTATCTTCAGCAAGGGGATGGTCATTGTGTACAGTGTGCCAAAAACAAGCTTGGGCACATCTGGGCACAGTCATTGGTACTGTTTGGCACAAATGGTTATCATTTTTCTTATTTTTAACGATACTGGCAACACTGAACTTTTCTGCGCCTTCGCAGTGTGCATGTGCCAAAATTTGTTATTGGTGTTGCCACAATACAATCCATTTTTTTTCAAACCACAACCGTGAATCTCGCCATGGATTCTCCTAAGTCGAATTTTCAGCGCACATCCTAATGCCTGTCCGAAGAAGTAGGTTCATCATTTCGCGCCGGACTGCGTACAAACATTCCGACCACCCAGCATGAACAAATCAGGCAATCGCTTGCACAGCAACACTCCGCAATCAATCCCAACATTACTGGAAAAAATGCTCATCCAAGATAGTTTATCACCATAACCCTCGACAAAGTTCTCATCCCTTCCGGGTTCACGATATCCTCCAGCTCCGTTATCAAAATCGTCACACAGACTCCCGTGACGGTAGTCCCGTCCACATTTCCTCCTATCTGGGCTCTATCCGTTCATAAGATGGACTGAAGACAAAGCATAGGTGACAGCGGTGTTTCGAGTTTTAGTCTAAAAGTCAACAACCAAACAAAAATTATACCATCCGACCTCGCCTCCGACTGGAACTGCCATGTTACCATGGTTCCTTTTACCTTTCAATAACAACGCCGCATCAACCGACGGAACTTGCACTTCTTGCAGCAACTTCACCTTTATGGGGTCGTCAGTAATTTGATTCCGGAATTTTTCAGGGCCATAATCATTGGCCTATATTCTTCCGGGAAACCACAAAGCAGCAGCGCATTAATCCATTCATCCGAAATGTTGAATCCGATTCGGTTGAGTTGGTGAGCCATGGTCATATCTCAACGAAGGTTCAAAGGATTCCGTCGATCTTGTTTTCCGTGCTAAGCACCTATGCTACCGACGCCAGAGAGACAGCTCCCACGCCTGGACCCTATCATCGATTCATCAGTTCATGAACCGGGGACTAACGGCTGTACTTCCCTTGAGATGTTATGCCTCAGAACATCCCGGCGGCGCCGACTGGGATTGAACCCAGGCCTGCTGGGGTGAGAGGTAATCACGCTTACCACTACACCACCGGCGCCACTGGTGAGCCATGGAAATCACTAGATTTACGTACTCGAACATCGACGAACAGCTCATCAACGATTTTCACCAGCTTGTAAAGAAGTCAAATTTGCCTAGCTAGGCCGGTATCTTAAAATGCCTTCACCAAATTACCCCACACTCCCTGCGCCATTTTCGCCTCCTTGTCATGGACGTAATTCATTGGTTCAAGGAGGAGAATGATCTTGGTTCTTGCTTTCCGGTCCTTCGCAGCATCCACAGCTTCAGGTATTCCCGTCTGCTTTCAGCATCGGTTCGACGGATCCCCAGAGATCTTCCAGCTCGAGGTATGTTTGAACTGCAAACTTCCACGTAGCCCAGTTCTCCCATCCGGATAACCGCTCTATGCCAGGCAAACTTGAAATTGCTTGCACGGAACTACCACTTGATCTTGCTTGACTTCAGAAATTCGGCTTTAAACGATGAATAGGCCCATAATATATTGTATCTTCAAATATTAAAAAAAGAACTTGTTCGTTTAACGTGTGAACAGAGAATAATTTTTAAAAAAGGTTCAGATCTAGGCATGGCTTACATATAGTAATAATATTTTATATAGTTCTATGAGTTTCACTGAAGTTCTCAAGATTTTTCTGAAGTTCATGGAACTGTCCTTAATTTACTGACACTAATTCCTCAATTCTTCAATGGCCAAGACTTTCTTGATGTTATTAAAACTACCCAAAAGATTTCTGAATTTCCTTAAAGTTTTCTAGACTGCCCTGAATTGCTCAGTAGCTTTTATAAGAACCCGCAATTTTTCTGAACTAAATTGAATTGCCTTGAAGTTTCCACAATTTTACTAAAGTTTTATAAACTTTATAAACTCTCACGGAACTTTGCCATAAATTACGAATTTTCCCTGAACCTATCTGAACATCATTGAAATTTTCTATGCTTACCTAATGTTCTCAAAATTTGTTTAATGCTCCGAAAAAAACACTGACATATATTCAAAATTCTCTGTCGCTTCTGAAGTATTCAAACCAATCATAGAATATTCGAAATATCCCGTAATTCCACGGAATTCCTTGTAAGTCACTACAAATTTCCTTAAGTTTTGGGATTGTTCTGAAGTTATATGATCGTCCTCGAAGTACTCGGAACACCCTTAAAATACCCTCACTTTTTCCGGATGTTCATATTATTTTTATTGCGAAATTCTCTCGGAGCTTTGCTGAATTTTTCGGAAGTTCCCTTAGTTTCTCGAAACTTCTTTAAGGTTTCTGTAGAATATTTTGAATTATTTGAGCTGCCCCTTGATTCTCTGATCTGTCTTGATGCTCTCGGAGCATCCCTGAAGCTCTCAATTGAATTGAACATATCGGTTCTGCTCTGAAATAAATGGAATTCTCGTAAACACCTATGAACTTCCCTGAAATTCTGTGGACTTCTGTGATTCATAAATTGTCTTAAGGTCTCTGCACTTTCCTGAAATATCGGAACATCTTTAACTCTCGCTTATAACGGGTGTCCACTAAAAAGTGAGAATGAAAAGAATGGGTCGGGAAAAAAAACACCAGTGAACTTTAGTTCAGGCTTGCAATTGATCATTACAGCTAAAATGCTAGTTTTCGTAATTATGAAACTATGAGATACTATAATGATAATTGTTATTTGTAAGAAGCAAGAAGACGTGGTAAAGTTTGTGTATGACGTATAAAATTTGTCGATTTTGCTTTCAGAAGGTCACAATTAGCGATTTTATGATCGCTGATTACTCGCTCATCGCGTTGCTAATCGTTACAGCTAATCGCTGTTGTGACCCTCTGAAAGCTTAATTGACAGGTTTTATGTGTCATACACACACTTTACCTTCTCTTTTTGCATCTTGTAAATAAGAATTATCATTAAAACATCTCATAGCTTCATAAATCCGAAAAATAGCATTTTAGCTGTAATGAGCATTTGCAAGCTTGGTTTAGTTCAAACTGATTTATTCCGTACAAAGGGTTAACTTAAAGGCCCAAACGCAATGACAGCGAAAGCGGAACGGCAGCGGCAGCGGAAACGCCTGATCTGAGTAAGCCTACTTGTCGGATTGAAAACTAGTTAGAACCTGCACAGAAATTCAAAACAACCCAAAATTAAGTTCTTTTCACTCATCTCCCATGTTCCGTACGATAAGCCAAATTTGGGTAAACCGGCTCAAAGTAGTTTCAATTTTTTCTACCTAAAATTAAGTTCAATTAACTCAAATTTGGGTATATCGCATATTACTCAATTTTGGCTTCTCGGACGGAACTAGACGGTTGAGTCGAATCTTTCGTTCTATTTTTGACAACAATAGCGAGAGGAAATGAAACGGGCAGAGGTCAAATAACTCAAATTTGAGTTTAAAAAACCCAAGCGGTGGGTAGTTTTGTTTTTCTGTGTGAGTCTGGCGAAGTCGAATCGCAGCCAGCTTCAGACACTATCCAAGACGCATTGCAGCAAGCTTTAATCTGTTCGAACGGTTGTCAAATTGATAAACAAAGCAAATGTGTGCAAGATTGTGAGTGACTCTCTTGAAATATCGATTGGTAGTTGTAGTCTGTTGTAGTTCGTTGTTATTGTCGGTCGCGTTTGACACCGGAAAACCCCACACCCGACTTTCGATTTTACTCTCGTTCTGTACAACAACAAAGCGTCGGACATGGTGTGCATTATGGCGCATCATTGTACAAATACAGCGCACTATGTCCGACGTTATGTTTTATGTACAGATTGAGAGTAAAATCGATTGGCGCGTGTCGAATTTTCCGGTTTTCTACTGTATCAATAATATTTGGTTTTCATAAAAGTTCCTAAGCAGTTAAAATGCAATGTTAAGCAAAGTTTTGCAGCTAAAGGGTGATACGGTCAAAATTTGGTCAATATCAACTTGACGTATTTCTTTCAATTTTGCATTTAAAAAACCTGAACACCCCTCATTTTGAAGGTGT